CATCAATACACTGCGTTCAGTTATAGAGAAAAATAGCACAGATAGTGCGGGTGTTGAGTAAATAAAATGATCGCTCTATTGACGGCATGTTTGTTTGTTTTTTTTTTTGCAATCCTTGTGCGCGCGCTAAATTGCATCAGCAAAAGTGCGCGCGAAAACTGTGTTCGGCCACCTCAAGGTGGTTCAGAAAAATAGTTCAGAAACCACGTGAATGATTTATCAAAAAAAATCTGAATTCTGACATAGGGAATTTTTAATAATACAGCACATGCAGTGAAAATGATTTACGGCGAATTACGAAAATCGTCTATGTCAAACTTTTATTAGAACAGTGTTGACAGAAGGGATTTAATGTCAATTCGTAGTGGGCAAATGATGAAAAAAATCTAACGAATGGATTTTTTTTAAATAAACAAAAACCATTTTTTAAGCCTTGTTTTTAACCAGCCCCGTTGCCATGGCAACAGGACACACCTTAGCCAAAATGCGAGAATAAACCCTTGTGTGGTTAACCTTGACTCGTGCAAAAAACGGGCGCCAAGGCATAAATAGTTTAAAAGTAAAGGTGAATTAGGCATAGGCACTTGAAAACTGTGTTCGGCCACCTTAAACCGAAACTTAAGACATAGAAAACCTATTTCCAAGCAAATATTATATTTTTTGTTAGAACCTTTTTCAGAAGAGCTTTGAGGCTGAGATTGAACCAAATTTTAAAAACATGCTAAGAACCCCACAGATTGCAGAAAGTCACTAGAGGAAGTTAAGAACAGCGTGAATTCTGGTAAAATGTAAAACTTGAGTCTATACAGTCTAATAACCAAGAACTTTTCAGGTGATTCCTCAGTATTGTATTGCGCATCCCTACTGCGCACGATTTTCGCGTCATTAGCGCGCGCACACTTACACAACGTAAGAGATTTTCCCTCAAGTTAAGCTCGACGGCGAAATAAATGCTCGTTTTCTCTTAAACGAGCATTGTGACCTATATTTCTCATTGCATAATCTTGGTATACAAATTATCCTCTTTAAGTTAAAAAATTGAGAAAAAAGTTGTTCGGAAGGAAAAAAAGATCTAGTTAAAGGAGAGCACAAAACCGATACACGAGGATGCGAATATGACCTTGAAAACAACGATTTTAGGAACGTTTTGAGTCAATGTCATTTAGAATTGTGATTTTGCCATAAATATATCACTTATGCGATTGCATTTTCCATGTGGCCGATACTTTCTACCTATCAAGATTTTTACAAGTATTTCTTTAATAACGTTTGCTTTCAGCTACCGCAAAATTCGACGTCAACTGATGAAACGCGCGTGATTAGGCATAAATGGGGTAAGATTGGCCCATCATCTCTCTTTAGCGATAATGGTGGTCTATCCTTTTAATTGTATTTTTCGATACAGTGCCTTGCAGGGAACATTCAGGGAAAGTTTCAAAAAAATTCTTCGGCTATTTTTATTTCTGAGGAATCACCTTAAAGTCGATTTTCACTAGCGCATTACTGATAACCCTAACTGACAATTTTTTTAAAACAACAATTTTAGTCAAACGATGGCCCTGTCGACACTACACCGGAGATAATGCAGCTTTATTTCTACGGTTAGGCCTACCGTGAGATTTAAAAAAAGTGACAGGAAAAGAGAAGAAGTTAATGTCTTTTTACTTTTCTGGTTCGAAATTTAACACACGGGCATAGGGAGCTTGTTGTTAGAGCAATAAATTCTGTAAACAACGCTTGTTTTCAGCTGACACTTTTCAGAACGGTTAATATAATGTTCCTGAGCGCATGATGAATGCGAAAGTTTGTAAACAGAAACTACGCACGAGCAGTTGTAAGGATAAACTGACGAGGAAAGAAATAAGCGTATTTAGTGCGCTGAACTGCAGTAGGAATTTTCTTTCAGATCAAACAGTATCCCGTGAATAATGATTTTTGGCTTTATCTGCAAGACATATCAGGATTAGCGTGACAATGTGTCACTGCCGCGTTCAGAACGTATTGCTATCTGTTTGTCACGCATGTGTTTTCAAGTTACCCGTCAGGCTTTTCCTCTTCAGAAAAGCTTTAAAAATGCAATGAAGGATTACACTGAAGGAACGTTTTTTAAGACTATAAAATAAGAAAACGTTTTGGGATAATAATAATTGCATGCAAGAGTGGTCAATTATGTCTCAGGGTGTGATTTATTTGAAGTGCTTGTGAACGATAGAAGCACAACATGTAGCCTGCACAGATGGCAAGTTTTCACGTGCGAGTTCTTCTGGATTTAAATGAAAATATACGATCATATAAAAAAACAGGTAAACTAGAGTAGAACTGAGAAATTGTCGTTTGTTTAGTTATGTGCTTGTGTCTCCTTATTGACAATCAGTTGTTAACGTAACTGTAGGTCCAAGAGGCAAAGAGTAGCGAATCCACAGACTACTTTGACAATAATTATGATTTATTATTGGTTCCTTTGAAGGGACCAGACTTATAACACCATCGACGGACAAACACTATTCTCTTGACTCTGACTGATGACTTCTGCTCAGGGTTGAAACGTCAGTCACCAACAACAGTTCTTTTCAGAAATACGTATATAACCTCACCCGGACGGTCACACTCAGTTTCCTCGCCGTTTAAATACAACTTTCTTATACCTTATTGGTACTTAATTTTGCGAATTTGGCGAGACAGTATTTCGCGAGGTTTTATTTTCGCGATTTCAACAGGCACATATGAAAAAAGGGCATTGAATTTCGCGCTGATTTATGCGTTCTGAGCTTCATTTAATTTTTCAAAAGTCTAAACTTTTTAAAATTTGGAGATAAACTGGAACAAGCAAAAGGCATTTTTAAAACTTATAACATTACTTCACAACAGAAGATAAAAATGTAACTTACCATTAAACCCAGTCAATAGGTTGTGTATTTTTCAATACACATCCTGTATATGTTGTTGTTATTACATTCTTATCATTTCTTTCTGTGATTTGAATTTTCTTTATGGGTGTTAAATTTCGCGTGTTTAAATTTCGCGGACTTTCATTCGCGCGTCTTTAATTTCGCGCTTTCTTTGCAATCGCGAAAATCGCGAAATTAAAGTCCCGCGAAATTAATTACCAATAAGGTATTCATTTTTATTGATAAGCAATCTGTTACAACAGAGCTTTTATTTACCTAAAATTACTGTTCGACTATATTCTTTCATTTTAAACCTAAGTACGTACTGACATACATTGCTTTTAATGCATGTTAGTTTTCAGGTGAACTGGTGCAACTTTTTATTTAAAAGCGGTCGCTTCTTAAGGTGGTTGGTACCAGTTTTCTAGCGCGGGGAGTAGATCACCATCGTGCGTCACGCGTGAGTAACACGCACAATAGAGGCGCGAGATTTAAAACCCGAAAGACCAAAACAAATATGGCTGCGCGCGGCTTTTTTTGCGCAACGTCACTTTTGTACTGTTAGAGACGAAATTCGCATTTAAAGGAGGCCTTACCTGCTAGAACAACTTTGGTCAATTCTGTGTATGTAAGAAAAAATGTTTCGGGAATTCAATGTTTCCCGAATTTCAAAGGCAACTCGATTGATCGTGACTGCCACCAGGAGCGTATAAAGGACTCGCAAAGTGGATGTAAGTATGGAGAATGGACAGAGAATTTGTGTAAAAATCCCTCAGAGTAAGCCCTAGAGGTTGTCTTTAACGACAACTACAACTGAACATGATGTTTTAGCAGCAAACAAAACAAAACGCCTGTTCGGAGCCCACTCGCCCGCGCGGGTACACGAAGCAGTCAGCGGTAGTCAAAACAGCTGATGAGCAACTGCTAATCTTGTAAAGTCTGGATTTTCGAATGCGTGTCTACGCGTGTGGAAATAACGGAACTCGCGAAGGCTTTTACATGAAAACAAGCCCGGTTACCCCTTCTTTTTATTGTTTGCCGTTTTTTATTAATTGTTATTTATTGCCGTTTTTCCAAGTTTACAAGAAATCGGCTCAGTAAAATTATTTTAAAATTGTTGCGCATTTTCCTTTTCAGATGCCAAAAGCTATTGTTTTGAAAAAAAAAACTCGGGGTCACAGGGTTAATTTTTAAGTTATTAATGACTTAAGCGAAAAATCAGGTCTGGAAAATCCTTTTGGAATGTCGCCATGGTAACTACTGACTACAAAATAACAGCTGATTTAGGTCAAGTATAAATTTTATAATCCAAACCTACAGAAATATTACAGTGGGCCTGGTCTGCCTTTTTCTGTTCTTACAAAGTTATGAGCCGTCAAAAACCTGAAAACTGGTACGAGCCACTTTAAGATTGAAAACTCGTTATCCACGTCTCGTTATCTTGACGTCTGCGACAAATGGACGAAATGTTTATTGTTCTTAAAGAGAAAACAACAATTCGGAAAATTGACCGCTATAAACGCTCGTTCCATTACTTGAGTATTCACTATTCATAAATGTGAATGTTACTCCTGAACATTGGACAGAACTGACACCGCCTTCTCCGCGTAGCGAAGAAGACCCTAATATCCTAGCAGTTATGTCGTACCTCGTGTTTTTCTTTAAAATGATTTTGCCAAAAGACACTTTAAAACCATAATAAGTATATTGCCTGGCCTGTAATTCCTCTGAGTAAAATTTTCCATGTAGAGACACCGAAACTGATTTATTTTTGGAGTCTATAACTTCAAGGTCTACAGAATACGCAGTATTCTGTCTGCCAAATAAGCACACTCCGTGAAGCACGATATCTTTGTCTACAGACAAACTGATGGCATCTTTCGAGGCTCTAAAATAATCTAATCCATAGGTAGGCCAGCCAAATCTATTACATCGTGAAATAACACCACATCTTTTTGTTTTTGGAAACATCTCCAGAGAACTAGGGACTGAATTGAGATCTTTGATGATACAGGTGATTTCGTCTAAGGTTAAAATTTTGCTGTCCAAAACCACACTCGCGAAATCTCGTTGATCCATTGTTGGAAAACGTAATGCCTTGACTAGGCTTTCTCCAAGAACTCTTCTTTTTGCTGCACCATTTACCGTTAGCCGCTGTCTGTTACATTCCTTCGTCGCCCAAAAGTCAACAGCTTTAAACAGCTCTATCTCTTTGATCGTCAGAGTGTCACGCTCGACTACTCCTTCAAGTAAGGCCCTCTTAATTGTCCCAAAACCATCCGATTTTACAGCCTCTTCTGTCTGTTTATCGATCACTTCCCAGCATCGATACGCCAGGGTTTTCTCTTCATATTTCAGGGCAGATGGCAAGATGTTGAAAACATTCGACGGATCTAAATTATTATGCAGATATTCAGTGCATTTATTAGCCAGTGAAGGCACCATGTATTTCTTCGCAAAATACAACACTCCCATCACATTACTTACGCTCAAGATCACTTCATCACTGTACATGTAACGAAACAACTCCAACAGACTGTCATACTCACAGTCAGGCACTTCAATAGTGTCTGTAGTCTTCGCCAGCTCACCGTAAAACATGGCTTCAAACACAGGACTGCTAATCGACAGCACGAACTTGTGAGCTGGAATCACTTGTTTACTTTCACTTTCGTCATCGGCTCTTTTGACAAGAAACTTCACATCGCTGAAGAGATCGTTATTGAACATAAACTTGTTTCTTTCTCTGATGGTGGGTCTTGTTGTTTGCCAGTTTCTCTCGACGACGGACATGATTTCTCGACTGAAATCAACGTAGTTTAAACCAGGAGCGTTTGAGGTTGTTAGACAGCGTAGATTTGTGATAAAAAGTGGGTGGCAACTCGAGACAGCGGTGGGTTCAAAAATTTAAATATAAGATTACTGGAAGCCATCACGAACTCAGTTGGTGTGACCAGTCACGCTAAGAGAGTGTGTGGTCACGCCTTCCTTAATATCAGTCGGATCTTCCCAGGAATATTGTACCAAGAAAAATGGAGTAGAAAATAAGTTTCCTACGAGTTACACTCTTTTTTTTTTTTTATAAGAATATTGTTTTGCGGCCCAGGCTGGATGTTCTTATTTTTCTGCCGATTTTTATAGACTGAAAAGTGGGAGGCATCCTATCCAGGGGGGAGTAGAAATACTCCTAGTCTTTTCATGCTAAGGAAACCGGGATAAGCTCCGGCCTGGTGGGCCACTTGGCTCGTATGCAGACTTTACCTTTACCTTATAGACTGAAAATATTCTTGTGAATATTCTTAGATTTTTGCGTATGGCATTTCTGTTTTCGAATGTATTTGGTGTCTGGATGGTATTAAAGTAATTTTGGAGCCAGCCTGCAGGCAATAATGCCTGATATGACGCACATAACTTCTTGCAGAAATGTTATTAGCATCGAACATACGCCAAGTGCTGTTTTTTTTGCTTCTTTGCTATAGTTTTGCCGTTTAGAGAAAGGAAAAAATTTATATGGTTTAGTTTAAAACATATAATTCTATTTACAAATTTTCAACTTACAAAATTGCGCTTTCTTTTAAAAATCTCGGTCTCGAGTTTAGTCTTGATATATTCTTGAAACCTTTGCAAATTTCTGCCTCGATATTCTTATAAAATATATCCATCTGGTTTGAAACCATACTCATGCAGGGAGCGTAGTTACTGTAAAGCAACCGACAAAGTTGACAAGAAACACTTATTAGGGGAAGCAATAAATACTAGACTAGTTTTCCCAATACAACAGTGGTCAATTTTGTCTTAGGGCGTGTTTTATTTGGGGTCGGGTAGATGCTCTCGCTGGGTCTCACATGAATGGCTCGATACCCTTTAAGAGAACAACAGAACAAACACAGAAACAATGCACCTAGCCCTAAAACAATAACACCTGATACAATAATAAAACAATAGCAGCTTACGAGAGCTGCTACACTTCTGTTTACTTGGAGTGTTTGTGAATGAGATTTAAAAGTTAACTTGTACTGTAACTGTGAGGGTAGACTGAGCACAACTGGAGAATGCGCTTCTGGTGCTTAGCATTGTTTGCATCGTTTGCGTATAATAACCCCCAGTTGATTTATGTAAAATATATATGTTCTTAACATTCATTAATTACGGGACTGAACTTACATTATACAGACAGCCCTCATTACGCAAAATTACAATGTTTACGTCTTTTTTATATAAAATATTGCAATTGATCATTTACACTACCAACCTACTTTTCTCCGTTAATCTTTGTGGGAATTTCTTAAACCTGGCATTATTGTTCGATGTGGCAAATAATCTTGCACAGAAAAATATCACAAAATGTACAAACTCAGTGAAATACAAATTCGTGCTCCTAGAATGTTTTTAATGAACAATGTTCTTGTCACTGAAGGTTTTAATTTGTCATGATGAGATTAAGGCAGATTATTACAGTTTGAGATTTGCTTTTCATTTTCTGCTTTCTATTTAACTATTGCATTTTAAACATTTAACAACAAAACCTCTTTATAACACTTGCAACATCATATATAGTATAACTAGTTGTTTCTCTTTATTCTGGTCACCTGCATGTTTCCTTTGCAATGTATGAGTGTCGAAAACAAAGGGAAAACAACGCTAGAAGAACATGAAATAGTGGGTGCGTCCGATCTTTGAACTAGAAGCCAGGACAGCACACGGCTAGTACAAGATCTCGTCATAGAACTGAGTTTGGATGATCGAAAATATCAT